TTCACGGCTGTCAATTGCAATTAGCCTATGATAAAAAAAACAGAAACTTGACTTGACTGAGCCGTCCTCTATATAGATGTAAGGCACGAGAAGATTTGATTCACTTTAACACGAATATTGAATTCTTGTTGAATTTAAAAGTTTTTACACCTGGTTGCAGGCGTGTCATCTCACAAGTTACCGACATAGTTGCATTTAAAGGCTTCAGACAAGTTGTGGAAATATTGATACCTAAGATTTAGATTGATACTTGTGCTTTGTGCAGGATTGCTTTTCTCTAGGATTAACTTTATCCACGATCTTATCCAAGACTGAAACCAATTTAATTGTTTAGAGTAAAAATATTAAGCGAAAACTCTCGGGAGTCAAATCAATTAAAATCTTTTCGAGATCATTTTGCTTAAATCTGTCAATCAAGCACTTGGACCTCACTATTGGGTCTAAGTGACTGAAACTGATAACTTACAAAGAGGCACGAATCAAGGTATAGTTGGTTAAAATAAAGCGGAGGAACAATGCGTCCGAGTAAGTGATGGGGTTGCCAGTAAAAGGTGCTGAATACTTATGATATATATTGCTATATTGTTTTATTGCTATATATATGTATATTGCTATATATATATATATATATATATAGATTGCTGAATGAAAACATCGTTGTTCACATCGATGCTCACATTACGAAATCATAAGTATTCAGCACCTTTTACTCGCAACCCTTCGCTTACTCGCTTACGCATCGTTTCTCCGCTATATATACGAATATTAAATATATCTATGTACGCATATATATATTTTATAATTATTTAATAAATTCAATTTTTTTTTTTTTTTTTTGCAATATTTATTTACCTTTTTATTCTGACACTGCTGCAATTGCAACAACACTAAGGTTCTCGCGCTTCTCAATTTTACTGCAAAAATATATATTTTACACCAAAAATTACGCACAAAATGCAAAAAAAAAAAAAAAAAATAAGATAATAAGTAAGAAACTTTATATCCTTGAATTTAACTCAGTGCGAAATTTTTTTTACTGCGTTTGTTCGTTTCTTTTGGTATCGGAAAAAAAAAAAACATGAAAAATTTTAACCATACACATGGAAAATGAAAAAAATATATTGATCTCTTGTTAAAAATTGCGTTTTTTTTTTTTTTCGTTTTTGCCAGGGATTTGAGAATTTCGTGGTTTTAGCTATAAAGGTGCGCAAACTTAAACTAAGCGAATTAAGTCCCAATTAAAAAAAAAAAGAAAAAACCAAAAAATTTCACAAATACTTTCTGATTCTGATGTTTCCAATGATAATAAACGAAAAATATGTAATTAAATGTCACGCAGAAAATGAAATAAAAAAAAAAAAATAAAAATAAAGAAATAATTTATAAATAAAAAATAAAACAAATATTTGATAATATTTGATAAAGCAGAGGTAACTTTCTTCTGACAGTCGTTGCCCGAAATGAGGCAAAGTGATTCGGAAACATGGCAGAAGTGAAACACAACAAGTTAAACGGGTAGGAAAATTATATTCGATTGTGATAATAAGAAAGACAAAAAAATTGAAAATACTCAATTTTCATGCTTTATAATACGGAATGGGCGTGGTTGATTTGTTCTATTTTCAAAATAAAAGCCACTTGCCGCATAGGTGTGCTTTTGAACCTGGTTTTTGCGCCTTATAAAGGTATTGAAAAAAATTTGAATTTCGATACGCTACAACACTGGGTAGGTGTGGTCAATATCTTCCATTTTTGCACAAGTACGACATCACTGACCATACAATATTGCGCAAAACAGCAATTTTCTGTTCCTTTTAAAAAAAAACCGAGATGTTGTCAGCTTACGTGGTACTGGGGGCGTATCCTTCGACCGATTCGACTTAATTTCAACTTCCAATGTTTCTGACAAATTTGAAGTCGATAGCTTGATTTTCGCGGCCAAGAGAATGTTTACAACATACACTAAACAGACGGACAGGCGGACAGGCGGACAGACGGACCTCTTCAAATCGATTTAGAATTTGTTGCTGATCAACAATACAATCCTTTGTAGGTTCTCTGATGCTTCCTTTTAGACGTTGCAAACGCTTTGACAAAATGAATATACCCCTTATAGAGTTGTATTCAACTTAAATTACTGCCGTAAGAAAATCATAGCAAAAGTCCAAGAAATGCCTTTTCCCTAAATTTAATATAAGCTATTAACTCATTACGAATGATATATTCAGGTGAATGTTGTATAGCAAGCAGTTTAGCTATTATCTTCAGATTTAATCCTTGAAGCATACGCCAATGCTTGCTCCGAACATGGAAACAACGAAATATTCTGGTTATCAGCATAATTTTCAAAAACTAGTCACTTCTGCTACCGCTTTATGACCTATTTTGCGTAAAACACCTGAAAGCCTGCGTGCATATGTGCTCGCTTGAGCTGGACTACTGATATAAAGAACGATCCCCACAAGTGATGCCTGTCTTTTGAATTATGCCGCAAATGGTAGCACTTTCCTGATTGGCTGGTAAGCATCATGTCGGTAATTTCGTGATTAAAAAGACGATTCGCAAAGCCTCACAAAAAGTGCATTTGCATGCACAAAACTAGTAGTTACTAGTGTGAAGAAGGTCCTTCCAAACGCTCAAGGACGATCGTTGACAATAAAAAAGCCATTCAAATGTCCCAACTTTAATGACCAGCCATAGAAAATATTCCTCTTTAAGTCGATTACAAAAATATTTGCTATCAGACTTCCTTTACACTATCCCCCCTCTCTTTATATCTCTCCTTCTCGCTCTTTCCCTTATAAAAAAAAAAAAAAAGAAAAAACATAATTTATTATTCAGGGCCCATAAAAAATTACAGTTATGTAGCGCCGTAAGCAAGTTAATCGCTTTGGCCTGTGCCCGATCCGTGGATTTACGTAACACCGAATGACTCGTAGCGTGATATAGGACTATAGGTCTACTGTCTACATTATACATGAAGTGATGCCTATTACAAAAATTTTATCCCAAGTTGTCACAATAGTGAATGAATTTTTACTAAAAAATTTAGATCATTTGCAAAACGTAGGAAGAGTATTTTGTCTTTAGATTTGGATCTTTTTCTTTTGCTTCTCATTTTTGTTTTTGTTTTTTTTACAAATAAGAAAAAAGGCACATAATAAAAAATCGTTAAGTTAGTTAGTTATAACTCAAAGAAGAAATTCAACAATTTTCAAATGAAAAGAACCAGGCAAGGTAAGCCCAAAAGAACTTAATGTCCATACACTTCTTTCCTCTCACTATATGTACTTTTATCAGCAGGCAAAGTTCAAAGAACAAATAAAACAAACGAATTGAGCAAAGAAAACATATATGGGCACAAACATTCTTGATGGTGCTCATATACAATTACCTAAAAACAAAAAAAACAAAAATAAAACAAAAAAAGTAAAAAAGAAGAAAATTAAGTTAAGAAAGAAATACAAGAAGAGATTACATATGTAGTTGAAGACGAATATTTTGGATACTTCTATACCAGCATCGATCAATTTAATTATAATTTGGAAAAAATAAACGTTTAATTAAACAAACTATTTTCCATTAAAAGGAGTAAGCGATAGGCGCGGCCTCTAAACTAACAATCATTTGTCTTTTTGTCAACAATTATAAATCAATTTTTTAATAGAGAAATTTAATGAATTTTGTTAAAGTTTAAATGTTAAGAGCATTTTCTGCATATGAGACAAGTTGAATCGTTGCGTTCGGGCAAGGCCGACCTTATTCGGCACTCTTCATTCAGCACTCATCATAAAATATCAAAAATTTAATCTTAAGTCATGCAGTTGCAACCCAAGCGACTGCTCTCAACCAATTTTCATCAAAGAAAAAGGTTTAATTTCTGCAAAGACTTTACAAATATAACGGTATTCAAAATCTGATTCCGTTGAATGCCAACTTTTCACATTCCTCTATGGAACTTTTCGGGAAAAGTATTATTAGAAACCATCCGAATTGAATACATTTGCGATAATGTTCGGCTATATACCAAAAGAGGATAAACGAAGCGTAAACGTGATGACTAGACATGATTAAAAAGCCAACTCTGTCGGTAATTCTATAATAAATATATGGTTAGGAAAATTTCAAACATCGCAAATATATCTTTATGGAATTTGACAAATTCAAGAAATCAATCCAATGATCATCAAAACCTGTTCGCCAATGCTGGAAAGCAATCTTTCAACAATGCTAAGAAATTGCATCAATTTTTTCAATAAAATTCTTAACCATCATCACGAACGAAGCATGGGGATCTTAAACTGCCTTAAAATATTGACTAAAAGCAAGCCTGCTCAACTTTCTTGCCTTCGGTATTGTAAGCAAATATATTGCAAGTAAGTATAGTAAGTATTTTTCTTTTTTAATTTTAATTTTGATTTTCAGCATTAATTTGATAATAATTTGATCGAGCCATCGGCTATTCAAAATTATCAAATGAAGACGAGCTAATCCTTAAACTTTTGTTCTATATCATATTTTAATTGTATTGTACTCACATGTCATGTGCGTTACAAATTAGATAAGTAATTTAAGGAATGCTTGGCTACTAACGATTACACAGAAAATGCTCCAGACACTAAATTAGTGAAAAACAAATACAAAACCAAAAAAAGAAAAGCAAACACACACACGCACACACACTCATAAAATCTGTTTAACAGACAAAGAGGAGCACTTTCGAAAAATAAGATAAATCCAACATGTAAGCAAATAAAAAAAAAAAAAAAAAAAAAAAGTCTACAAAAAAATAGCAACAAGAAATTGTGAACAAAACATTTATTAGTGCAGGCAAGCAAGCAAGTAAGCAGAGGCGCTTAAAACAAAAAAAAAAAAAAAAACAAAAAAAAGGAAAGGAAAACTTACGAAAAAAAAAGAATATGTACATATATATATATATGCGTATATAAATAAATAAAAATCGCTTTAAAAAAAGAAGTTAAGCGCAAGTTTAATCTTACACTTGTTATATCTACGCGTAAGTTTTACTTTAAGCACCTGAGCACCTTCTTAATGCACTTTCAATACTTTCCATACACGCACACAATACACTTTTATTTTCTAATTGTCACTAATCTAGTTTTTGTTTTTTTTTTTTTTTTGTTTTTGCCTTTTTTTGTTTAATATTTTTATATATGTATTTATTTTATTACAATCCTTGAAGCTTTCGAGCAATTTGATGTGTGTTTATGCGGCAACTTAACTACAATAACTAACTAACTTTGCTAGTACACCGTTGGCATACAAAGGTTCTTATTACATACAAGCTCACGTATGTATGCGAATGTACGGAGTTTTAACGGCAGAAAACCAAAAGGCAGACAGACAGGTTTGATTTTGATGGTGCTGCTTGCTCTTACATTTAAACCAGCGACAATAGCAATGCACACTGCATGTATAAAATTATCCTCTTTTCACACAACTGCAATCAAAACAACAGGAACAACAACAACAACAATTATTATTATTGTGCCTGCATATATATATATATATAGACGACTCATTACTCGCTATAGTAGCATTCTAGTAAGCGTGTCTGCAAAAAAGTTATTATGTGGTCTCATATTATGTAGGTGTGCGTGCATACGTATACGTGGGTATGTATTTATGCTTGTGCATATACATAGCATAGTTTGCAATCAGCTGTTTTATTAGTATGTGTGTATTGTTGTGTATATTGGATTGGAACTGTTGTCATAGATATTTTATAAAATCCAACTATCTACTCCACTACATAAACGAAAGGAAAGAGAGAAGCTCTTCTCTAATTCTCCAATTGACGAGTTGCCAATGCGTTCAAACAATTTAATACTGTTTAATACTGTAAACGAAAAATTTATAAAACTTATTTGTATGACATAATTTAAGCGATAAAATGATCTTTCTTTCCAAGCTCTTTTTTTTTTTCGTAGTAAAATAAATACAAATCAATGTAGAAAATAGAAAAATAATATATATGTTGCATATGTAATAAATAAAAAATTAAATAATATATGTAAAATATTTAATAAATGTAAGAATTAATCAAAAAAGAAAAAAATTAATAAAAATTAATTAATATACTTAATAAAAATTGTTTTAAAAAAAAGTGATAAAAATAAAAATAATATTTGTGTTGTATGTTAATTATAAATTTTTGTTCAACGAATGTCAAGAAGAGGATGTGTCATATAATGGTTCGGTTTTGACAATCCTGTAAGACAAAACTGTCATCCAGGGCATCATATATTTAGTGTTGCGTATGCTATTTTACAACACGGATCATGGATCATTTCACAAGTGATTCTGTAATAAGTACCTTTCCTGGTTATAGTCAATGTAATGAGTCCAAGGTTGAGCACAATGGATCTGTAACAGACTTGTTATCCATAACACGGCGCGTACACTATGTGGGCTTATCTTACAACAGATTAGCATGCGTCTTCATCTTTACAAAATTTAGCTAATATAAGAACTGAAGCCGGGCTGATCATGCAATGCGTAAAAGATGCACACATTGGGCTCTTAAACACCAAGGTGTGGATTACGATTTTCCGAATCGAATTTTCTTCAGTGATGTGGCTTGGTTTCCGCTTGGTGGATATGTCAGCAAGCAAAATTATCGCATCTAGGGCAATGAAAATCGACAAATAACTTTCCGAAAACCGTTGCAGACACTGTAGCGCGTGATAGTTGGTCCGAAGGCTTGTACTTTTTCGAAAATTCGCACGGGGAGGGGGGAATGACACAAACCATCATTCCTGAACGTGCCGCGAGGCTCCTCAACTTAAACATGTCTCGCGACAATGGTCCCAATGTTAGCATTCTATTAATATATTTTCAAAATACTATATATATTTCTTTTTGTAATATTTAAATACGTAATCCTGGAATATAATGAATCTATTAGTTTTTCGTTGATCCGAGGACATTGCCAAAAAGACGAAAGAGGGGAAAAAGACAATATGCTATAGCTGTAGGAGCTTATGAATAGTATACAAAGTATGCAAGAAGAAGAAGAAGAAGAAGTATCAGCTATGTCAGTCTATGTGTCTATCGGTTATACGTTTGTCAAAATCATGCGCGCAAGCTTCAAACTTTGTTTTGGAAAAATGAAAATGTTGAAATATTCATAGATAATTTATATTGGCCCCAAGACAAAAATGCAAGCAATATTAACTCAGTTGTTGAAGTTAACTTGCCCACCTTGTCGCACCATATTTAATATCATTTCATTACAATTAACTGGCTACTGCTCTTGAAAATTAGAAAGTGCTTACAATACTGCTTAAAGAGACCTAACTACCATTGAGAGTATCTTACTTTTGCCAGTAGCAACTCTGCTTAATCGGAAAATGAAAAAGAGAATGAGAATGAAGACGAGAACGAGACCGAGACTGAGAGAAAGAAAAATTATTTCATTCGGCTGCAAATTAGTTGAAAACTATATTGCAACTGGTGAGTCTGACCCCCGTCATAGGTAACAAATTTGTTTGTATTTGCGCATAAGCGGTCTGCAAAAAGCATTACTCGACAACACGAGTATACAATAAATAATACAACCTTTATATATCTGCTATGCTAAGTATTTAACAGCAATCTACTACGTCTCGGTCCTTTTTATTGAACAAAAACAACCTGCCTGTCGTACAGCTTTGTGTGCACTGTACGACAATCGCTCTAAATCGGGATAATAAATTCGTAAAAGAAAATTTTCATTTTTACTATTCTTCCGTGCATTTCCGTGCATCGTCTTCATTTCATTATCGTTAACAATAAACGATCCGTAGCTTTTATTCGTTTAATAATTTTTGAAAGGATTATTTTTTTTTTTTTTTAATCGTTTATCATATCCTTAATCTTAAAGCGTACAAATTGCGTTTATATTGCGAAACTTTTTTTCTTTAAGGTTTTAGAGAAACCTACATAACCCACACTAATATTTTAGATTGCATTGAGTCCGTCCGTCAGTCCTTAGTAGCTATAGTTCATCAATAATAATAATAATACCAATAGTAATAATACAATATGATTTAAAATAATTCACGCACACTGTACGATATAAACCTTCTACCTTGTTATCAAATCTTACATATAAACTAATAAAGAATATTAAAAAATTTCATTCAAATCGCAAGAATCTGCTGTCTTGCTTTTTGTTTTTTTATATATACGCGTGTGTATGTGATAAGGTATATATATATATATATCCATTAGCTTTGCTTTGCTAGAATCTAGGCTTGGGTTACTTAGGCCCTGTTTGAAACTAAGATAGGTGGATCGGATGGATAGGAAAAATTACAATGATTCTAAAGCTATATTTGTCTCTCGTAAAATTAACAAAATTCTTAAACATTTACGAGTTCATTTAATTTATAATTTTTCTGTTACTTTTCAATGTTTAACAAAAGTGAAAAAAATGAATATAACATAACTAACTTGAACAGTTAGTTTAGCTTGGATAAATAGAAAATAACCGTTGCCTTTGTTAAGCGGCGCTAAGGCAAGCGAAGACAAGCACCTATTGCTAATAAATAAATACATTTTTGCTTTAAGAAAATGGATATAACTGTTCACATGTAGATGGCGTTGCCTATAAACGATAACATTTTCTATTTACCTTCATTCATTGTCTGCAAAAAATGTTAAGTAAGTCGTTAAGTGGTTTAATAAACTGCTACACAAACCATCTATGTCATGTTTTTTTTTTGTTTTGTGGAAATTTTTCTGCTTTATTTTGCCTTTTCATATAACCAATCAAACAAGACATAAGAATAAGCCCGATTGAAGTTGTAGAAGAGAGAAAGGGCAGCCGTACGCCGGTTCAGTTAGTGATCGTTTAGCAAACGAGCATTCATTATAACTACGGACACGCACCAAACAGAATTAATGCATGCTCTATTACTGAGTAACAGTTCATATACAGTTCTTAATTTGCCCATCACACAAGGATGATGGGTGTATTCATATTTTTAAAACATTTGCAACGCCCAGAATGAAGCTTTAGAGGACCAACAAAGTATATATATTCCTGATCGGCATCAAGTCAATTCTTATCTGGTCCAAATTAAATATTTCGCCAAATCGATCGGTGAACTTTACAAGCATTCTTCTTTCTCTTCTTTCCAAATACGCGGCCACTGCTCCACAGGGACAGAGATTATAGTTAGGAGGTGAGAAAGTTAATATACTATTTTTTTTTTTTTTTTTTTGATGAGTTACATAAAATTCATATAGATCGAGGAAATACATATATATATATATTGTAAGAGAATATAATTAAGTTATATTGCATAATACAAATTTTACATTTAATATCACTACAAGTTAAAAGGAGTGGCAGGCATTTTTTTAATAACTAATTATATGCAAAATGAAAAACAAAATGAACAATAACTGAACAATAATTATTAATTTTAGATAAGAGGTAAAAATTTCTAATGTGACAATAAATGAAGAGCTGACGAAAGTGGTAAAGCATATAAATGAATAGGTTACCGCGCTAAGTGAAGAAACCCGTTAATAAATCAAAATTAATTTTGGTCAAAGCCAATGCAAAGCTATAGAGTTTGCAATCCATACTATCAGTGATTATACAATAAGAAACGGGTAGTAGACGGCACATTTTTCTGCTTCTGTTATTGTTTGCTATGGGTTCGAAGGCTGTTATATATCCATCTGTATACACCAACATTACACAGATACAAAAGCTTACGCATATGTAGTTTGCTTTCGAACTCAACCGTTTGCTTATCTGCCAATCGATTTTATCATTTAACTTATGGTTAACGAGTATATTTGTGATGGGTGAAAAGTAGCGACTATTCGTTATTTAAGTTGTAATTTTAATAGAAAACATTACAGCCGGGTAAGGTCGACTAGTGGACTCTCTACACCATTTTCCCTAATACAGTTATTTATTCACTTTGGTGATAATACACATAAAATTACACATTATATATATCATGCATTTCACGAAGGCCCTCACTTTCGACGGTACTCAAAACGTCAACGTAACGTTATCCAAATTGACCAAACTTATTATCCTTATCAAAGATTTTATTATTTTCCAGTTGCTTCCGTCATAAAAGACATCACACAAGTTAACAGTTTAAGGATTTAATATTTCATGATAATTCGTACAT